AAAAAAAAAAGAGAGAGAGAGAGAAAGAAAAGCACCTTTCTCGCTGGGCTATCCTGAAGAACAAATGAGTTAATACAAAGAAAGTGCCTAGAGCATAGGGCACATGATAAGCTCTCAGTAAGGGTTACTGCTCACTCATGCCCTCTCTCTCTCTCATACACACACACACTTGCAGTTTTAAAAGAAATATGCTGTATGTATTGCCTACAATCTTTTTCCTCACTATCTCATTCTTTTTTTCCAGCTGTGTAGCATTCCTCCATAGCTTATTTTTCCATTCCCCTAAAGATGGACATTTAGTTTTTTTTCAACATTTTGTTTTTACAATAGAACAACCATTATCCCACACGCACTTCCTCACTCTCCCCTGCAACAGGCTTACCGGAATCATGAAGGTCTTACCAATCATAATTCAGGGACATTGTAGGATGGAGGGAAGGGAGCCCCCAGGATGGAGGGCATATTTCTGGATGCTTCTGTCCCAACTAAGAGATGACTTGGGGAAGAACAGAAACAGAAAGAGGTAGCAAAAGGCAGGTGGGACTGGGAGTGAAAACAGAGGGAGGTGAAAAGGTGTGGATTAGTGGGAAAAGCACAGATTTGGAGTCTGTGGACCTGAATTTAAATCTTAACTCTATCCAGTGTGTCAAAAATCTCAATTATGTGCATGGCTTTTGCTACAACTCTTGTGTCTCCAGGACTTGAAAGCACAGACATTACATAAACACATCCTAGAATCTGAATGGGAGCAATGCTTGAAACTTGTCAATAAAACTAGAAATAATCATAGTGTCCAACAATAGCGGAGATTAAATAGAATATGGTAATCCACCTGACATGACCATTGCACACTGAGTAAGTGGACCCAAATATCACAGTGTACCCCATAAATATATACAATGATCATGGGTGAATTAAGAAAAAATAAATTAAAAAAAAATAATTTCAGAGACAGAAGGAGATTAGAAGTTACCAGAAACTGGCGGAAGGGATAATTAGAAGTTATTGCCTGATGGGTACAGAGTTTATGTTTAGAATAATGAAAACATTTTGGAAACAGAGGTGATGGTTACTGCATTGTAAATTTAATGAATCCCACACAATTACATGTTTAAAAATGCTTAAAATAGTAATCCTTATGTTATATGTATTTCACCGCAATTAAAAAATAATATAGGGGCCGGCCCGGTGGCGCACTGCTACAGTGCGCCGCTTGGGAGCGCAGCGGCGCTCCCGCCGAGGGTTCGGATCCCACATACAGACCGGTTTCCACTCACTGGCTGAGCGAGGTGCGGGCGCAGCACCGAGGGTTGCGATCCCGTTGCCGGTCCCGGTCCGGTACGGGCGCGACACTGAGGGTTGCGATCCGTAGCCAGACATGAAAAAAGACAAAAAGGAAAAAAAATAAAAAAATAATATATATGTATATATGGTACTGTCTGTAGTGGACTCTTATGCAGCCATTCAAAATGATGTCACATCAGAAGGCTGTTGCCTTCAGCAAGTGGTCCTGTTACACAAAGTGTAAAAAGGCTACAGAGGAATATGTTCAGCTGGACTCCGGTCTTACCAATATGCCCTGAAAAAGAACCAGTAAGTCATGTATCAAAATCTGAGTGGTGGAACTGTGGGTTGTTTCTCCTTTCTTGTTTGGTGTATTTTCCCACTTTACTATGATAAAGATGCATTCCTTGGGTAATTCTGTGTTTTTGTCAGGATAATGCACAAAACCCCAGCACCGACACCACCTGGCTGGGGTACCTAGCATGTAGGCACTTCACTGCCAGGTGTGAGGACTGACAGCCTCCAGAGCTGCTCAAGGCTCAAGAGCTGTCGGGGATGGAGACTCCTAGGGACGAGCCATGCGAGAAAGGGGTTGTCCCAGAGAGGACTACCCTTTCACTGGGCTCTCAGGGATGCCAGGGCCTGATCAAGACAGGGACACGCAGAGATTGAATACGCTGCTCCTGCACTGTTCAGTTGCTATGGGTCTCAGGAGAAGGACAACAGCCTCTCCCAAGGGTGCTGTGGATTGATGTACCTCCAAACTTAGTCCCCACTATGTGACAGTGTAAATAGGGTGGGAAATCCTATTATGGTAATTGAAAGGTGGGGTCTTGAAGAGGTGATTAGATTGTAGGCCCATGCCATAATGAATGGATTAATAATGGTGGTCAGGGGCGTGGTTCTGAGGGCTTTAAAAGAGGAGAGAAGAGAGTCTCTCTTTCTCTCTCTGTTCCACCATTTTCTACCATGTGCAACACCTACATTGCTGTAAAGCCACCACCAAAGAAGACCCTCATCAGATGTGTTCCCTGGCCTTTGGACTTCCCAGCCTCCAAAGCAGTAAGCAATAAATTTTGTTTTCTTACAAATTACCCAGTTCTGGGTATTTTGTCATAAGCAACAGAAACGGAGAGAAGGAGGGGAGGGAGGAGAGTATCTTGGATGTGGAGAGCTCAAGAGCACAAGCTCTGGAGTCCAAGAGACCTGGGCTCAAACCCCAGCAGCATACGTTGTTAGCTCTGTGGCTTTAGGCCAGTAACGTCTCCTCTCTGAAATTTTGTATCTTCATCTGTAAAATGGGGGTAAGAGTAGTTCCTATGTGCTGAGGTTGCTGTGGGGATTAAAGGAGATAATGCTTTTGTCAGGGGGGTAACCCAGTATTTGCCACATACAGTAGGCACTCATTAAATGGTAACGATGGTGAGGCTGATGAGTGTTCCCATAAAAGCAACAGCAACAGTAAAATGATAATCATAATAGTAATAACAGCCCCTAACATGTATCAACCTATCTGATGTTCACAGGTATTTATAAGGTAGATAGATTAGATCACCATGTTACAGATGAGGAAATGGAAGCACACGGAGGTTGTCACCTGCCCATGGTCACACAGGTAGGAAGGGGCAGAGCTGGAGTTTGAACCCAGACAGCTTGTTCCAGAACCTGTGCTCTTAACTCTACCCACTACTGCCTCACTACAAAGCATATTCAAAGCTTGCTGATTCTCACAGAAAATAGAGGAGTGATCGTTCCCATTTTTTAGATATGAAAACAGGCTCAGAGAGGTATAGTGACTTGCCCAAGGCCATACAACTGGAAGAGGCAGAAGCGATCTTCCTGCCTGTCTCCAGGGATGGGGTCTGGGCAGAAGCATCGGTGGCTCCACTCACTTGGACAGGGAGACACCACCGGGCTTGCCAATGAGGTCCTCATGATGCAGGACAGTGTCGCTCCAGGCGATGCCGAGGAAGTCAAGGATGAGCTTGAGGGAGCGCCTGGGGTGCAGCACCAGCTGCTCATAGTACACAGGCAGGCACTTGTCCTTGCCCACCTCCATGCACTGGGCGTACATCACCTCGATGGCCTTGTTCCACTTGGTGAGGCAGTCGCGGTAGCTGCTGAGGTCGAAGCCGGCAATGGTGACCTTGCGTGTGATCATGGAGTGCACCGAGGCCCGGCCGTCCCGCACCATCAGCAGGAACTTGGAGTTGGGGAACAGGCGCGACAAGTAGACCGATGACTTGAGCGTGAAGGGGTCCTTGTTGCAGAGCACGCGGGCGGGCTCGCCGTGCTTGGCGATCACCTCCAGGATGAAGGCCTGCATGGCGGCGTCCAGCACCTCGTCCGTCACTCCCGCCTCGTCCAGCCGCAGCTTCTCCCGGCCTGACTTGGACCAGGCCTGGCGCATGGCTAGCACGCGGGGGATGATGCGGGTCTCCTCGCCGCAGCGCACCTCGGGGTGGGCATCCAGCATGGCGCGCATCAGTGTGGTGCCGCTGCGGGGCACGCCGCCCACGAAGATGAGCGGCATGGCCTGGCCGTAGCGGTACTCCACATGGTCCGTGCCCACCATCACCAGCTCCTCCTGCTCTGGCCGCATGGCCCGCCGCGGGCTCCGCAGGCCCTCCAGCACCGCCCGGCACTCCAGCACCTGCTGGCCCAGCTGGACCGCCAGCACCAGGACCAGGGCACAGCCGGCCACCAGCAGCGCCCTCCGCACCGACAGGCGCATGCCGGGCCGGGGGTGGGGCAGGCCCGGCCTGGGGGCCCGCTTAGGTGGCTTCAAGGACAGATCAGCAGACAGCTGCCCGGGCTCACATCTGGGGAGAGAGGGAGACACACACGGTCAGGCAGTTCTGAGAGCTATGGGTCCTTTACTACACAAATCCCAAATCACAAATGTGACGCTGCTGACATTAAGGGCAGAGCACATTTCATAAGCACTGTGTACCTGGCATGTGCTGGGCACCTTACATATCTTAACTCATGGGATCCTCCCACAGCCCTAGGTAGGTACTATTATCACCCCTAAGGGACTCTATAGACCCACATCCTGCATTCAGATCCTTCTCCCCATTTCCTAGCTGTGGGACCTTGACAGGTTCCTTAATCTCTGAAAGCCAGGGCTGTCTTATCTGATAAATGGAGAAAATAATAATTGTAAAATTTACTATTGATAATGCAGAAAATAATAATCCACTGGAACATCAGGTTCCAACAGCACCTCTGTTCCATGAGGACAGGGAATTTTGCCCATTTTGATCACTGCTGTATCCCCAGCTCCTAGCACAGTGCCTGGCACCTAGTAGCTGCCCAGTCAGTACTGATGGAATGCACCTTGGTAGAATGAGCAGGGTCTGGCACAAAGCGAGTGCTCTGAAATCATCACTACACAGAGAGGCTGCTCAATGTTGCCCAGGTGGGATGCAGCCGCCCAGGAGGCCAAGATTCAAACCCAGGCCAGCCGGCTCCTGCACTTGCTCTGAATTACCACAATGCTTCAGCAGGACAGGTTTTTCAGGAAAAGGCTCAGAACATCCTCATCTAGATTTCTTCCTGAATCACCATCCATTCATTTGTTCTTCATTCAGGAAATGTTTATTAGACACTAAAAGGTGCCAGCTACCATGTGGGGGGCTGGAAACAGCATGATGTACATCACAGTCAGGACTCTGACCTCAAGGAGCTTAGGTCCTAGTGGGGAAAGCAGATAATACACAATGTATAGACACACTGTGATAACAACTTTCAAGGAAATGATCCAGACACTGTGAGAGGGATCAAATGCAGAAGAAGGAGGGCAGCCAGGGAGGGCCTCTTGGAGGAGGTGGCCTTCAAGCCAAGACATGGATAAGGAGCTGGCCACATGGAGATGAGTGGGAACGGTGCTCCCGGCAGAGGGAACAGAGAGTGTAAAGGCCCTAAGATGGGACAGGGTATCTTCAAGAGCCTAAAAGGAGACTGCTGGGGCTCGAGGGGAGTGAGTGGGGAAGGAGGGAAAAAGATGGTGGGGGGCCACTGGCCAGGCAAGTCCTTGGGACCAGTAAAGAGCTGGGCTTACTCTATGGGCAGCCCCTGAGGAGAGGGCCTGCAGGGGTGAGGATGGAGGCCAAGGGGCCAGTCAGGAGGATCCTGCCAGCATGCCGGGTAAGCTCAAGGACAATGGGGGGGAAAGGGGTGGAGATGACTTAGGACGTGAATTATGACCCTGAGCCTATGCTCCTCACCCCTCCCAGGTGTTGCTAATTAAGAGGATCAGATTTTAATGGGAATTCTTCAGGTAAGGGCTTGTTTTAAAAAGCAGGGAGGGCTACCTGGTTAGTGCAATTGGTTAGAGTGTGGTGCTGGTAACACTGAGATCCAGGGTTCGATCCCTATACAAACCAGCAGCCAGTAGGAAAAAACAAAAAAGGAGGGGTCCACCCAGTCCAGTCATCCCCTTCTTCACATCCCTCGAGTGACAAATCCACTCCCCTCCTTAGTTCACCCCCATGACCCCCCGATTTTGCAACCTGAGCACAATGCAGAAGGTGCAGACCCAGATGCTGGATGGACACTCAGCCAATCTCAGACCACCCTAGCCATTCTCTGCCTCACCTCTGCTGCGTCTCTGGGCCTTAGTTTTCCTGAATGCCCTTCCTCTCTCTTTCCGGAATCAAAGTGAGGGCTTGAGGTCTCTGGGTATTCAAGGAGTCAGGTAGGCCAGCATTCAAATCCCAACTCTGCCACTTCCTGGCTGCATGATCTTGGGCAGCAAACTTAACCTCTCTGAGCCACATCTGTAAAATGGACCTATGAGTGTCAACCTCAGAGAGCTGTCATGAACAGTAAATGAACTTCTATATAGACAGTATTTAAGAAGGTGCCCAGCATATGGGGAGCATTTGAAAGAATAGTAGCAGTTTCTACCATGATCATTTGTTATTCATTTATTGCAGCATTTAATAAGCACCTACTGTATGCTGGGAGTTGGCATACAGAGCTAAGAGACACAGTCTCAGCCTTACTCACACTGTTGATCCACACCTGGATGGGACTGAGGGCTTCTACCTGAGTAGGTGAGGGAAGGCCTCCTGCAGGAGGTAGCCCTCACGCTGAGCTTTAAACAGTGGGTAGGAAACAGGCAGGTGGAGGAGAGAGAGAGGTTGTTCCTGGCAAAGGAAGCAGCCAGCGCAAAGGCACAGGCAGGGAAGAACTGGCATGATTGGAGAGCTACGAGTGGCTTAGTGAATGGTGGAGGGGCTGGGGGAAGAGAGCAGGGAGACAGCTTTCTTCTTTGGATGTGACAATTCACCTGAAAACACCAAAGGAGCCAGTATGCAGCGGGGCCTATCCACTCACAAGGGTTGAGCTGCCTGGGTCTCTCGACCGCAGCAAGTGGAAAACAAACCTCAAAGCTGAGGGAAAACATAGTTTCAGGCCTGGGGTTGAAACTGCTGAGACACACTGGCACTTCCTGGCTGTGTGGCTTTGGGAGAGTCACTTCCCCCATCTCAACCACAGTTTCTTCAGCTGCAAAATAGGGTGGATCCACTGGCCTCAAAGAAGGTTCTAGAAGCAGCTGACAGAGCAAAAATAAATGTCACCTTGGGGTTACTGGCCTCTCTGAGCATCAGATAATAGCTGGGACCTTCTTCTCAGAAAATTGTGCCTATTAAATTCTGCTGACAATGTTGGTGGTTCACTGGTGCCCCCAATTCAAGATCTGCAATGGGAAAAGTTAATTTCAGGACTACTTTCGGGGGAAGGCAAGCTGGACAGGACCTGAAGTCATTCGGAAATCCCTCTAATGACCCCCCAGCTTCTTTAAGTGCTCAATGAAATTCTCCCCTTAGACCTGAGACTAGAATTCTGCCAATTATTATGATTTCAGTGTCAGTGCCCCTGGGGGGCTGTCAATCACACTTTAGCTTGAATTAGAATAATCATCCTTTTGGGTGAACAAATGGAGGTGAGGGAATACTGAGAAAGGGGGACAATCTGGAAACTGAAAGTTGCTTCCAGAAAGGGTTGGTATAGTGTGCACGCTACTGAGTGTGTGTGTGTGTACACTCAAGCCTATGCTTGGGGTTGGAAGTGATTTAGATATTAAATACCAAGGCAAAAGGCTTGGAAGAAGGTACAGACAGAGTAAGGAAAATGTTATCAACTTGCCAGTTTTGCTCCATACTGATCATTCATTTGGCTCCAGCATTTTAAGTTTAGCAAAAGTCCTGAGTTTTGTATCTTTACATTTATGGTGTACGCTCACTCTGCCAAAGCATTTTTCATGTGTCATCTGACCTCAGAGAGATAAAGCAACTTGCCCAAGGTTGCACAGCCAGAGTGGCAGGCCTTGATCAAACAAGGCCAAGGCCGAGCTGTTCACCAGAAGAAAAGAGCTCGACGTGGGCAGGTCAGACATCAGCAGAAGACAGCAGAGACCTGGAAAATGGCTTCAGGAGAAAAAAGCAAGACAGAAAGCAACTGGGAACCCACAAAGCAAAAGGCAGCTTCCAGAGTCACAGTCAGTAACCTCACTCCAGGAGGAGCTAGAGGGTCCAGCCCAGGGACCTGGGCCTGCCCTGCACTTGTACCACCCTGCTGGACCTTGGCAAGGGAAGTGTCCTGGCATCCTGCCAGTGAGGATGGTGGGTGAGGGTCTTGGACTTGAACTCCTACAGCCCCAGATTCAAATCCTGCCTCTGCTACTTGCAAGCTGGTAACCTGGACAAGGGGCTTCATTTTGCTGACCTGTTTTCTCCTCTAAAATAAGGAATAATAATCTTTTCTCATGGAAGCTATTGTGAGGGTCAGGGACCTCTTGCGTAAGGTGCTGAACAAGTACACCAAAAATGCCAGCATTGGCAAGATGAGACACAAGAGGGTTTGGGTTCTGGCCGTGACACTGGGCAAGTCCCCTGCCTGCTTTGGGTCTCAGCTTTCTCTATGCTATCACCAGGAGAATCATCTTCCTAACAGACAAACAAGAGCAGAGACCTGCTTTCTCCACACTGCTTGGATCCAGCTCTTTCTAGTACTGGATTTCTAACCTGCTGGCTTGATAGAGAGGAGAAAGCCAGTCAGAGAGTTTGCTCGACCACCGGCATGGAGTGACCGTGCCAAGAGCTGGCTCTGGAAAAGCCGGGACTCTGTGGGGCCTTCTGGAGACACTTACCTCCCCTGGGCATTCTCATCTCTGGGCTTCAGCCCTCCAAGCTTGCCAAGGCTGTCTGCCCGCAGAGCCCTGCAGGGGCAAAGGAGATACTACATCAGGGATGGGCGCTGTGGAGAAGGGCAGGGTCTCCCCAAAGAGGCAGAGGGGGTTTTGGGCTCCCAAGGGCACCTGACAGGGACATTTAAGGGAAGGACTCTGGAGAATGAGCTCCAGTGCAGGGGGAGGCCGCTTCAGCCCATGATGCTGCAGCAGGGGTCTGAACTCGCCTGCTCCTCCTACAGGGAATGAATTGGCTCGCTTCACAGACCAGAGGTATGAGCTGAGAGTGTGAGTCTCTGCCAAGCTCTGGCTTGGTCTGATCAAGGCCTGCCACTCTGCCATTCAGGCCTCCTCTCTCCTCTTGACCTAAGGACCTTGGACTTCAGGAAAAGTAAACATAACATCAAGCATCAACAACCACCCACTTCAGCCCATGATGCTGCAGCAGGGGTCTGAACTCGCCTGCTCCTCCTACAGGGAATGAATTGGCTCGCTTCACAGACCAGAGGTGTGAGCTGAGAGTGTGAGTCTCTGCCAAGCTCTGGCTTGGTCTGATCAAGGCCTGCCACTCTGCCATTCAGGCCTCCTCTCTCCTGTTGACCTAAGGACCTTGGACTTCAGGAAAAGTAAACATAACATCAAGCATCAACAACCACC